CCATCTCCTACATCTCGTACCCATCGACGCAAAGCCGGACCAGCACCTGGCATCAATAGGGGCAGGGCGTTCAGATCAGCGGATGGTTTGAGTGGATTGCATTCCGTAGAACTGGATGGGACGATCTTTTGAGCCTGCAGCCATTCACTCGAGGGTCGATTGCACAGTTTGTGCGGCCCGGCACACGTGAATCAGGTTCCTCATGTGCGCAGCGTGGCTCAGAGGTCTACCCCAAATAATTTGCATGATATTCTTGTGGATCAGACCACAAGTGAAACTGCAAGCATCCTCGCACCGGCATCCAGATCATAGACCCCAGCTGCATTATTTAGAGCCTATAGAGTGCTCGAGAGACATAGTATTCATGTTTCGAACGGTGTTTTCAGGGACACTCAAACTCAAACAAAAGGAGTGGCATCACTTCTTTCCATTACCCCGCTTTTTCGGGTCAGCCTTCGCTTTCGGGGCTTGTTTGGGTTTGGCTCCATCCGTCGCAGGCTTCTCGTTGCTGCGAGTATAGAACTTCTTCGCATTCCTGGCACGTGAGTCCGATGGCAAACTACACCATTCGAACACAAAGTGTCTTCTGTATGGCCAAGGTAGCGACTTGATCTGCAGCTCGGCAGCCGTGGCCCGGCTCGCCCTGCGAGGAGTCTTGCCCCAACTATATGCTTATCGTCTCAGTTAGATATCTAGGCTTCGGACACCATGGTGGCCCCTTTCATCTTCCCGTTGATCGCCGTCCACCAACTGGGCAATGGGAGGTTGCTTCCGTCTGTAGGTACATAGCTTATGTACGGGGGATATAGGGGCTACATGAGACAAGCAAACCCCAAAGCCGAAAAAAAAGAGTCGACAATATGTTTATACTATTATACTCATCGGGAACAAATACTTGCGAGGGACAACAGGAGAGGTAGAGAGGCACCAACAAGGAGAACCCCACCCATGGAGAAACGTATATAGTTTGGTCAACTCACGATAACTTCGAGAAGAAATTCTTATTCCCTATGATACTGCACTGTCGTACTCAGCCGAAACCACCACAGACCCAATGATCGCTTTGAGCAAATCCCCATAAACCCAAATCTTCTAGGCGGGCTAGGTGTGGACAACAGGCAGAGATGCATCCCACTGGGCAGCACAAGTGCCTTCATGAAGCTATCGATGTCTTTCTTACATGCAGACGCATGCATATATGTGCACGAACATGCAGACATATGCACACACAGACTCACACAAGAACTATGTGCAGCCGGTTGGCGTAGCAGAATAGCCATCATGCTCTCCACTGGCTTTGGCATCATTGATTTTCGTGAATTCAGCCTCCAATTTGCTGACATGATCGCCCAAAGTTTTCAGTGACCTTAGGCGAGATATTCTCAAGCCAAGCATTTACTTGCAGAGTGTGCGAAGTCTTGCACGAGGAACCAAGGGCAGAACTCGTGGGAGTCGGCTGCATAGTTCGTTCGTAGATCTTTCATCAGGGCCCGGAGCTTGGTGCACTTCGACAGCAAGGAGTCCAGGTAGCGATCCACCACGGCTTTTTGCTGCAACACAGGGCGCATATGCATTATTGGTCCACACATGGAAAAATAAGCCTTAAGTACTTCCTACACATGTATAGACAGAACAGATTTGTGGCCTCCACATTCGACTTCTGCGCATCCGCGGCTGGGGCGGGGGCAGTGAGCATCTTTTGGAGGGCCTCGACTTTGGTGAAGTTGTTCTCCGGCAACTTGACTTCGTCTTTCGTCTGACAAGGCAGACTGCATTGAGTCATTGAGAATACAAGAACTCCATACAGCTAGAATGCGCATGGCAATCAATTATGAGCCTGCTGTCGCGTCCTCTGCTTTTCCTCTTGACTAATCGACTGCTGTTCCTTGCCCATCTCGCGAACCACGACCCAATATTCGGTGACTCCGTCATATTGGTTCAACCTGGCATAGGACAAGCAACCGAAGACAAAGCTTCAGAAAGAAGGAAAGAGAGAGAGAGAGAGAGAGAGAGAGAGAGAGAGAGAGAGGGGAAGAGATAGAGAGAGACAGAGATACAGAGATAGAGAGAGAAAGGGAAAAACCCAAAGCCGTAAGAAGTCAGAAGTTGTGTGTGCGACAGCATTCAAGTTCCGTGCTAGAGTAAATGTGTGCATGTCCACGGCATCACCAAACAGCCTGTCTTTATGCTCTGGGGGTGGGGTCGAGCTTCTCTCTCTCTCTCTCTCTCTCTCTCTCTCTCTCTCTCTCTCTCTCTCTCTCTCTCTCTCTCTCTCTCTCTCTCTCTCTCTCTCTCTCTCTCTCTCTCTCTCTCTCTCTGTCTTTCTGATATCTCACCCTCTACCTGTATCTCTCTCTCTCTCTCTCTCTCTCTCTCTGTCGCTCTCTCGCATTCTCTCTCTCTCTCTCTCTCTCTCTTCTCTTTCTCTGTGCACTTCTCTGCTTGTGTGCACCCCTGCACACAACCTGACAACCTAACCCTTCAAGCCCAGGAGATTCCTGGCCTTATGTGGGTTTCCGGCGTGGCTTGGCAAGCTTTGATCGCTCCCTGGATTCTTTGCCTGGGCCGGGTTTGCAGGATCTATGTAGCGTACTTTAGATATGTTCTTTGAGTGCATATATGCAGATCAAGGCCTCAAAATACCTAAGATCCTGGCGTAGACCATTTGAGCTCAGTCCTCATTTCGCTTTCGGAATACCAGCCTTGATCTTTCACCAAGACGACCTTGTTTTTTTTTTTATCTGATGCTCAAGGTCGTTCACGAAGGCATCCTAAGTTTTCAGTCGCTGAAAGGTACTGTCGCACATGCATGTATACAATCATGTGCATGCACTATGTGCAGCACCAGTGTCCTTGTTCATGTTGTGTTGAAGTAGAAGATCGGCAAGGTCGTCGCGGGAGCCTTGAGTCCATTCGTCGACCAGAAACTTCGGCGCCACAAGGTCGTTGCGCCTTCGCTTCGGTGCCACCATTCTTCGCAGCCGGGCTTTGGCGGCGTCACGAAGAAGTTCCTCGGATAGGATATGAAGTGGAGCGCTGGGTTGATTCGAGAAGCATATGCATGCAGCCTGCACCGGCAAGCCCACAACTCTGTAGCCTCGCGATTATATATAGCTGCATGCACAAATTAAGCTGTGGAAAACGAGACACGCGACGTGTCTTCATTCGACGCCGCTTGCCCGGCTTCGGTGCATTCTCAGGATCCTCAGCCTCGTCATCGCGCTGATCGTCTTGTTCGGCTTCAGGCACCGGGGCGGCAGTATCGCGGGTCTCGATCTCGCCGCTGGGGGCGACCTGTGCCCGATAGATGTACAATCATGAATGCATGCGTAGCCTATGCCAGGTTTGGGAACTGGGTTTGGCTTTTTGGGGATAGTCATTTGGGTGCATGCATGTGCATATACGGATCTCGCCTCTTGGGTCTGGGCGACCTCGCTCGGACTCGGCGTCAAACCCAGAGCAACAAGCTCAGCAGCCTGCAATAGACCACTGACATGTTATGCCATAGAGAACATGCGGTACATGGTTGACAGAAACAAGAAACAGCCCGCCGTGGCCGGCAATGTGTCTGCAATCGAAACGGCATCGTTGTCAGCAGTAGCTGGAGGAGCCTGATTTTGCAATGGGTTTTGTTGAAATAAGACCACAACACACGAAACATTACGCAATTATAAGTATATACGAGGCAATTGCACCGAGCCGCCTTTGAAGCATCTTTGCCCAAGTCGCCCGACAGTGCCTCAGGCACCGCAGCATTTTCTTGAGTACACTAGATAAAATGACATGGGTGTGGTCACTATACTCAGAAGAGACACCGCAATCTGCTGCAGTAAATCGTCTTCGTAGGCAGCAAGGGCTTCCGGCGTCGCATTCGCGAGGAAGTCATTGTCCACAGACATAACACCTGCGCCTAGAGTCGCGCAGCTCCATTGTCGGGACATCGTGAAACCGCGGGCCCTGCTGGTACCTGCACCAAACAGCCCACTCGAGCGAAACTGCTGCAATAAAGCTTTATAGTCAGCTGTCCCCAAGAACGTTCTTCCAGCGAGAATAGAATCCTGTGTCCTGTGCTTGACCATAAAAAGCAGAGCTCTTCCTGTCCTGTTTTCGCGGCTGCTAATGATCCCAGCAGGTTGTTCTGGCTCTCACAAAAGCCAACGAATTGCGCAAATTCCACTTTAGGGCCCAAGCTACAAAACCTACTTTTGGACTACGGGTAATTACGGGTTTCCGACGGGTAATTACGGGTTCCCGATGGGTTAATTACGGGTTCTGTTTTTTTAGGTTTTGGCGTAAAACCAGGTTTTTACCAGGTAGGATTACGGGTTCCTATGGGAAATTACGGGTTCCCGATGGGTTAATTATGGGTTCTGGTTGTGAAACCTTCTTTCTGCGCAGCCGGTTTGTCTTAAAACGCTAAGAGAACGCTAAAAACGCTTAAAAGAAGCTTCTAGAACTCATCCGAGGACTTGCCCCTGCACTCTGGGCCCCTTACGGATTTCTGCGGGCAGCCTTGCGGGGCCTTTCTGTCGCTTGGCAAGGAACATTTAAGACCTGTACAGGAAAGAGCTCCCGCCACTCTGGAGGGAGGCAGAGAGAGGTCCCACCCCGCAAGTATGCATATACTGCAGCAAGGTCAGCATGCTCAAACAATCCTGCAACCTCAGCCGATGTTACGTGCTGCGCAAACAAACTTCGTGCACACGGTACTTCGGCCGGCACTTCGGGGCACCCTCGTGCGCTTGCTTTTAAAGCAGGAAAGAGGTCAGCAACAACAGCGGCAAAGTCTTCAGGATATGTCCTTAGCTGGGAGCAGGCAAGTGTGTGCACACACGAACGATCCTATATAGGCCTCCGGATTCTACGGTGGATCAAATTACATACAACCCTGCCGACCCGCACAACCTATTGCTCGATCGAATATATCCTATGTGCACCCATAAACCTCAAACCCCAGGTCCCACTAGTGTGCAACTGGAAGCGTATGTACCCAAGCATGCCTATATAATGATAAGAATCTCGGTGCCCTTCAGGTCCTTGGTTCCGTTGTAGCACTTTTTGCCAGCGCTGTTTATGTAACGATATGTTGTGCTCACTCTCTTCCCCAGGCACTGGCCGCGGCTCTGGTGTGTTCCCCTGTCGATCTTGCGAATCTCCGGAGAGTTCGCATATGCGAACTGCCGCTTGGCACTCCTGGCTCCATAAGCCGACATCCACCAACTAACCCGGCTCACCTGGGTAGGCTGGGGCTATAGGCTGCTGGAATTAACTGGGAATTGGAGATTCCATTGTACATAATCACGATAACATTGTAGGCTGCACTCTGAACACAAGTTGTCTTCTGACGATTCCCTCGCTAAGATAGGGTCTCCCCGGGTAGTACAATTCGGCTTGTGGGTAATGGCTTCTTTGTTTTCTTCGGGCACATAGATCTTAAGCTTACAGGTTTGGGGGTTTGTGTTTGTTAGCACTTCACTGATACGTCATTGGCATCTAAACATAGTATCGGAATTAAGATTTATAATTAACTCACCTTTCAGGTCACTGATGAAAAAACATCCTACCTGACCCAACCAAACTGATGTAGATTCAACTTCCCGACCCGCCCAACGACTGGTGACCTGACTTCCAACGAATCATCTAGGACTTTCGTTCCCGCGGCATTCTAAGTCCCCTGCTGCAGCCATACTCCCATGCACTTCTGCTAGCTTGCACAAGACGTAGCGAAAGCATGGATAGTACTCCAGCGTAGACGAACCTGGCTGCTCCACGACCCAGCAGCCTTGGAGGGCTGTTGCCAGCAGAAGCAAGAGAGTTGTCCTGGGCCAGGATCCAGGAACCGATCGGAGTGGGCCACATCTTTTATGGATTGGGATTCAGGATCTCCGGGATTGTTTCGTCGAAATCGATTATATTTAATGTTCTGCTAAATTGCTGAGAATCCGCTCCAGCATCATATTAGCCTCAATCACTGAAGGCTTGGTTGGGTCACCAACGCTGCTGCACGGACAGCGCTTGCTGGTGCCTCTGTTCATGCTGGACCAGGAGCTGCACTTGATACCAAACCACGCAACGAACCCGGAGGCTCGGCAACGCAATAAGTAGATGATGCCAAGCCTCAGCAGCAATCTTTGCCGCACCAGGGCACACATCGAACAAGCAGTGCTGAAGCTGTGTTTCGTGCTCCAAGCAAGACACGTCTCTAATTCTCGCCTAGCAGCACGAACCCCGAAACAGAGTTCATGTCCATGAAATCAGAGTTTCCTAAATGGGCTCGTTCTTCATGATATTGAATATCGAACCTGCAGCCAGGGTTGCCACGTGCACGTACATGTGCTGTACACAGCGCAGTTCCAGCGAAGAACTCCAGCCAGGTGAAGTCCTGCACGGCACTAAAAGCAATCATTTAGAAGCTCAGTGGCTCAGTAGAATCAGTATGTGTGTGTGGGCATGCGACATGCGTGTGAGTGTATGACATGTGATGTAGTTGATTGCCGGCATGTCATTCTCGTGATTGAAATCAGATGCTGTGGATTCGCGACCAGCAAGCCAGAAAAATCACGGCCGAGCCTCTTTCATAGGATAGAGGTCCCCGCTTGTCCATATCGCCAGGAGGACAATGGCCACGAAGTCCTGGGATTTGGGAAGCTTGGTTGCACTATATGGGAAATATCTCATATCGGGATATAGACCATACGAGTCTCGACTAGTTATTCTTCCGAGGTTCCCGTGGAGCACCCAAAGCAAAGAGCCGATAGGTCAGTTCGTCCACTGAAACCATGTTTCGCCCAGAGCTCTTCAGCCCCCTAGCTTGCAAGCATACACGAAAACCTGTGATCCATTGGAAGCCAGGCAGGAACATGCAAAGGAGTATGCACAGCAGCAACCGGGATCAATCATGCGGTCAGTGCACCGAACAGATCTGTCAGGAGCAACTGCAGATTGGGGAAGCATGGTGGGAGGAGAAAAGCCGGGACAACAACTGCGACAGGCTGACTCCGCTGCTTGCTGATCCTCCGACGCACTCGGCGGGCGTACGACACGCCTCGAACGCCGCCTCGACGTGGCATGCCATCTTGGGCCTTGGCAAATCAGGTTGCTATCATGTATATTTAATTGCCCTGAGTGCAGCATCGCTTCAAGCAAGGACCACAGCACATGAGCTGTTCGAGCGTATGTGCATGCACATGTATGCTTGGAGTACACTTGAATTCTTCCACGATGAAGCCGGTCCTCTTTTTTTGAATCGCGCCAGACCACTTCAGCGACACGTCAACCCCGTATGGTTGATCTACCCCGCTCCATTCGCCCTGTGACACGAGATGGTTTTAAGTAGGTTCTGAATCTGTATCGGTTATATTGCAAACTAAGACCCTAGTTGCTTGAAGGGCTTCTGTTGCGGGTGTGCAACCATTCTAGCGGGCATGCGCTACCCCTGCACAGCTGGAGCTGTGCATAGCACGAATCCACTTGACAGCTCTAGACTGAAGCCCCTTGGATCAAAAGTTGCCGCATCTTTTGCAGCATAAGAACTTTCAAACGAATCAGCGCTGAGTGCGCCAGTGTTCGATGTGTTCGACATCCTTCAAGGCGATATAGCCCTGCGCCTTCAGCGCCCGGTATCGATCGACGATCTCCGGCGTGTGCTGCTGGTGCGGCAGGCCAGCCTGGTAGAGCTTGTCGCAGTAATGCGCCTGGAGCAGAAGATTTTTGCAGGATTCAGGGCCCAGGGCTTTAGGGCTTTAAGGTTTAAGGGCTTATATAGCGTTTAGGGCATTTCGGATTTGTGTTGCTTATCGGGATCTATAAGGGCTTATCTTCATATAAACTATATAGGTCAAACAAAGTCTTCATAAGCATTGATTTCCACATCTTCCGAAAGATCATTGCTGAGTGGCCAAACAGATAGCCGCCGCAGCAGAGACAAGGAAGCCGTCGGGGGTTTGGGCGAAACCAAAGGATCCGAGGTTCATCTTCCTGCCGTCTCCCTGTAGCTCCCGCAAAAACACTCCGACGCCCTTGCGGACTTTCGAATAATACACATCATAGGTGCAGGATTCATAGTAAGGAAGCTCCTGCCGGAGCTCAGCCCGCAAGTCGGTGGCATTCTTCTCGAATCCATAAGCCGTGGCAAAGTAGACCATGTACTCGTAGTCATCCGGGTCGCTTTTGGCCAGTGCATCGGCCACATATGTGCAACTGGCCTTGGCACCCTTGCCTTTGCCCTTCTTGACCGCTGTCACATTCTTGTCGTTGTCGGCTGCAATCTTGCCCTTCGGCTTGTTGTTGCGCTTGGGTGCCGTGCTGCTGTCAGCCTCGCTGGCTGCTTTCTTCTTGTGCTTCGTCGGCTCGGAATCATCTTCGGCTGCACGGCCCGCCTTCGATTTAGCCTTGGCCTTGGCCTTTGATTTCGGCAAGGCCTTCGCCTGTGATTTTGCTTTGGCCTTTGGCTGTCGCTTGGGTACCGCCGGCTCAACCTCCTCGCCCATTGGATCGTCATCGTCGCCATGCTCATCGTCATCGTCACCGCTCAGAGCCGGCGGCATGTCACGATCCTCCTCGGCTGCTGCCTTGGAGGGAAAGCGCACCCAGTAATCATCCGGATCCTCGGGTTCCTCGGCCTCCTCGGGTTCCTCGGCCTCCCATTGTGCCACTCTCGACCCCCTCTTCTTCAATCGTCTGCTGCGGCCACGACTCAATCGCTTACCCTTGTCCTTCGCCACGGCCTTGGCCTTTGCATTGGCGGCCTTTTTCTCCTTGTTCGCATCCTTCTTGGCCTTGCGAAGGCCAAGCTGAGCACGACGACCAAACACCTGACATAGGGAGAAACTTCGATAATTATGAGAAATGAAATATAATTCGAGAACTCGTCGGATGAATAATGGAGGCCCCAAAGAGTCGCGAACCGTGCAGACGAGAAAGACCTAAGTGAAGTATATAATATAGTGTTTAATTCAAGATTCATGTAATCCCCAGCTAATCTATCCCTCCCTCTCATACATCGATCCCCTGTATCTCTCGCGGCCAGGCCTCGGCTGGCGGCTCCTCTTCGGCTTCGGCGTCTTCGGTCGGCTCTTCTGCTGGCTCTTCGGCTGGCTCTTCGGCTGGCTCTTCGGTTGGCTCTTCGGTTGGCTCTCCGGTTGGCTCTTCGGTTGGCTCTTCGGTTGGCTCTTCGGCTGGCTTGTGTTGCTCAGTGCCATTGTCATCGACTTCGGGTTCGGACTCAATCTCTTGCTTCACGGGTCGCATGAGGCTAGCATTGACATCGTACTTGTCGTGAGGAGAACGACAAACTGCCCCAACGACGGTAGCAGGGGGAGATAAACACAAATTTTCAGAGCTTCCGGCCACACTAGAAGCAGGGGTCGTCGTGACAGTCCGGGGAGTCTCTGGGCAATTCTTCTCGGGGCGCTTCGGATGGTTGGCTTGAAAGAGAGCACGCTTGGTGGTTGTGGAAAGCCCGCTTGGGGATCTCATTGGAGCTCGGTCCCACTCAAGGCTCGCCGCAGCTGGATCGAAAGCCTGCGTGTCCACTTCGTCCGGGTTGCTGCGATGAGGAGCAGCAGGTGCCCCTGGCAAAGTTAGATAGTTAAAATAACATGCGAAAGACTCAGCATAGCTAACATGAAGACGTTCTCTGGCATGCGACCTTGGAAGCATACTAAATGTCATGGTGAATGTGCTCTACTATATCATACGAGAAATGACTCTGCAACTAGCATGTAAAGGCTGCTCAGGCCTCCGGACACTGGAGGCACAGGGTCTCCATTGTACTTGGCCCGCTTGGCTTGGATCCTTACCAAACCGATGTGCAGACATGTGATGTGATGTGTGCTGATTGATATTCCAAGTTTATGATGCTACGTATTGGATGCTAGCATACTGTAGAAATTGCGAACGGAATCGATTCAGCGAAAGAACAGTTGGTGCAGATTTTTGCATGCCAAGCGACCTAGCCAGCTCCTTCTGAAGCAGCTCTAGGCGAAAGCGCTTCGTCGAGGATGCCGGTGAACCTGAGATAGGTTATGGTAGGAACACGGGGACCAACCCACCAAGCATATCAACTCTAAGCGAAGCCATGCACACACAGTTCGACCAAAGTAGCTTGAACCAACAGTAGAGGCCGGACTCGGGGCCATGATGACATCAGCTGATTCGCTTGGGGTGCCACTTGCTGGAGGGGTCAAAGTTGCCGGGCCACTTGCTGGAGGGGTCAAAGTTGCAGGACCACTTGCTGGAGGTGGGGTCAAAGTTGCACGACCACTTGCAGGTGGGGTCAAAGTTGCATGACCACTTGCCAAAGCAGGTGGGCTCGGGGTCTCAGGAACAATCGCTGGCAACGGGCTCCTGACTTCGTCTACCGGTCGCTCGATCCCAACCACTGTGGATGGAACTGGAGTCTCAACAGAAGCTGCCGGTGGGGCTGCTGGTGGAAGATCAGATTCATCCTCTGCCTCCCATGTCATGCATCTCCCTTTAGAGACCATCAAACGAATCTACGGCGCTAAGCCTTAAGCAACCTGATCGTATGCCCCAGGCCGCCTCTGCCATCGATGCTGGATCGCCGTCTTCATCAGGCTGTTGCTGTGCACGGAGCTGATCCACAAAATCCTGGCAGGGACGGTTATCTAAGGGTAATCTACAATGTACAACATGCAGGTAAAGCCTGAGGAACTCCTATATGGCCATATATGGTATCGATGATCAGGATATTGATTTATAAGCTGCAAGTTGTCCATGTGTGATCCTCGAAAGCCAAAGTCCAACAGGCTTCCTAGCAAACCGAAGCGCCCAGCCGATCGATCCCAAAGTAAGCCTCAGATCGAAACCTTCCCAAATATCCCTGTTAAGCCGTGCATGCATGTAGCATGATGCACTACTACAATTTTGTTCGGCCAAGCTAAACTATTGCGGAAGCACCGCGAATCAACCCCTAAAGGAAAGCACCAAATGGCAACCCTAAATCAATCGATCTATTCTATTTAGGCCTTGATATTTCCTTTATTTCCATGCAAACATAACTCGAAGACACCCTGAACGCACCAGTATGCCCGCAACACGCTCTCGTAGAACCCCGCAGCTGTGGCCCGACGCTACTAGCTATAAATTATACATCTTTTGAGCCCTCGATCAGAGTATAGCCTCGCACTACAATCCGCTGCGCAAAATATGCGCAGCTCAGAACACCTATAGACCCCACAGACAACGTGCATGTAGCTGCCGCCCAGACCTGGAGGTCTGGCCGCACAATCAAACATAGATCTTGAAAGGTCGAGTCCTGGGATGAATTTCAAAGGCAGGTTTGAGGGAGATCAAGGTTCATAGAGACTGCGGGCTCATAGGCTTAACTAGGTATGCAGGGTTTATATAATATAGGAGGAATGCGCATATGAAAAAATTCGGAAAGATGTTATGAGAACCGAGCTGCCATGCTCACCAACTTTTTCTGAGCCTTCATCTTAACGAAGACAACCATTCGTCTACAGAACCACGCGCTGTCGTCGATCTGAGAATCCGTAACATCCCGGGAGTGCATATCGTAAAATTTCTTCACTTGCGCACGTAGGCCGTCCACAGCTGGCAACTGCAAGCCTCTTGTAAGACTAAGCCTCACCAGCAGTGGCACCACTATTGAAGAGTTCAAGGAAGCAACGCGATTCGAGGGGTCTGTTCCTAGGGAAATATCCTCTAGAAGTCCCCCGCCCCGAACGCGGCCACGAACATCGTCCAAATTATCCCACTCTTCCGCCAAGCCATCAGTTGTATAGCCGGCAGCCATGATCGATGTCACGATCGATAACTACTGCACACTCTCGAGCTTTAGAAGCTGCAATATACGTATGCACTCGATCAAAATATGGCCCGACGCTTCAAAGAATCAATTCTGCGCAGGCTGATGGGGCCCGCACCGTTGGGCAGCCATCGATCTGCGCAAGAAAAGTTGCGCTGCGAGCCGTGTGGCTCTGTCCTCCTCCCTGTTGAATGCAACGACAACCCCTTCAAAAGACCCCTATGACCCCTTCAAGCATATTAAACCCCTATACAATCCTTCCAAATCACAAAGATTATCCGAAAATCAGGGAATATAGCCGGAAACCAGGTTTTCAGCCAGAAACCAAGTTCTGAAGATAATCCCTCTTGAAACAGGGTTTCAATGTTCGAACCTACTTTTTTTTAGGTTGCGGACGCTTAAGGTATATATACAGTTCTCTCAGAAGGCCGTCAAACAACAGTGTCTACGGCTGCTTGGGGATACTAGCTTGGGGCTTGTGGCTTAGGTTTTCAGGTTCAGTTACGTGTGTTTCTGCATGTCGGGTTCCATGATCTTGGTCGCTGTGACTCCTACGGTTGATGATATAAATCCTGCATTACCCATAATAAAGAATATGCCATAATTCCCATAGTTTAGGGTCCTTAAGGTCATGCAGGATTTGTATCATCAACCGTAGGTATCGCTTGTTCTGCTGACCACAAGGCAAGGTTTCGGGCTTGGGGCCAGTTTAGTGTGCCCCAGGCTGCTGCAACCTGAAGGGTCGCTTGGAACCCCAAAACCCCGAACCCTCACACTCCATTCTTGCAAGCCCGTTAACCCTAAACTCCAAGAGAACCCCATACCCTAACCCTAAACCCGAAACCCGAAACCCTAAAACCCAAAAAAGCCCTCAAACCCAAACCGCAAGCCCAATGCCTTGATCCACACGCTCCTTTCTTCCACTCGCTGGGCTTTGGATCGAGCTCTGGTCGCCTGGCGGAGCAATCGAGTGTGAGTGGAAAACGAAAGGCTTAACAATTGGGATGGGGTTCTGGGAGGAGAAAATTTGCAAACGAGACCGTAAGGGGGCGTTGATACTAGACATTCTGACCCCATCTTTTGTAGCCTCTTCTAGGCTAACTACCCAAGTCACAAAGCAGCAGCAACAGCAGCGGCACTAGTGGCTCTGTGCGCGCGCCTCACAAGTCCCATGCGACTTGTACGAGCGAAAGAAACACTAGCAGTTACTGTGCTTTCTATCCTCACCTAGCTTGTCTCCGGCCGATGCTGTGTCGTGTTCTCACAGTTATTAAGAATGCACAGAACTCTACTGTCCAGCGAACTCTACTGTCCAGCGTGGCGCACAGGCTTACTCGCAGTGCTGCATTGTTGCTCGCTGTGCTTTGCTCTGTCACAACCTGCGACGTCGCCTGTGCATTCTGCCTTTCAGCATACACAACCCTGGGGTGTGCAAGGTCCTCCAGCTCACTCCTTTCCATCCTGACATGTCCAAACAAAGGCCTACACAACCCGGCCAACTGAACAAGAATGCAGCAGCCCGCACTGCCACCGTTGTAACCTTGAGACCATACACATGAAACTTCGTGTTACACGCCAAATCCTGAACCCTTACCACTTAAGGGTCCTTTGGAATTCTATAGTGATGTCCCCCTCAACGGTGAACCCTGAACCGTGGCCCATACCCACAACCCACAGCCCAAAAATCTGCGAATTCATCCTACACACCCAGAGACTCCAATATCCCTTAATTAAGGAATGTACCTTAAATTATAATAGGATCCCTGATATGATTTAAGGAATATTCCTTAATTAAGCGATATTGGAGTCTCTGGGCATTCGGGGCCTTCACTCGATTCCGCACAGCTCATGCTCAGTCCGAGAGCCAATAGGGCTTTGCTAGTGGATTGGACCAGGTGACCTAGGATACACAGTAACCTAAGAATGAAAAGGCCTCTCTTTTTGGTATTGGGTAACTTGTTAAGGAACCTAGGACTACAAAAAGGGAAAAAGGGTACTACTGGGCATCCTAGGGACTGATCTACCCCTAACAAACCTCACTGAGACCTGAATTTGGAGAGCATGCTCCCGAAACCTCTAAACTCTGAAACCAGAGGCCCTGACAGCCCTAGGCCCAAGTCCCATTCATCTCTGAAACTGGCACCCCAGAAAGCCCGAAACCGTAAACTCCAACACTAGAAACACTGAAAGCCTCTACACCCTAAGCCCTGAAGCACAACCAGAAACCCTGAACGCCTACAGGCCTAAACCCTCCCTACACTGCCAAGGCAAAAGACATCTCAACCCTAAACTCTGAGCCCTAAGCCCTAAACCCAAAACCCTGAACCTCGAAACCACAAGCCCTGACCAGAAGCCCCCTGCCTCCTGCTTGACGTCTTCAGTGTGCTCCCTGCTTTGGCTTTGGGTTTGGGTTTAGTTGGGTTTAGGGTTTAGGGTTTAGGGTTTAGGGGTTTAGGGTTTAGGGTTTAGGGTTTAGGGTTTAGGGTAGGGTATACGGTTTGGGTTTAAGGGATGTTGGCTCCGGGCTTTGGCTCAGAGTTTGGGGGTTTGGGCTTTGGCCCGGACTTCACAATTTTAGGTTTGCGGCTCGGGGAATACCCAAGGCTGAGTAGTAGTTCTCTAAATTTAGGGTGCCGTTGAAGGGTCCTTTAAAGGAATCTACATTGGTTTGCATAACGGCTTCTATAAGGGTACTATATGGGTAGTTAGTTAGCGATGTTCCTTAAGGCCTTAGGGCTCTGTATTCCCATGCTACTACAACATGCCGCAGAACCCTGCTCTAATCGTGACGGCCCCTTGATTAACTCCCACAGCCCCCTATTTGCCCTAAACCCTAAACCTGAAACCCCAACTCGGGAAAAGAAGGGCTCCTTTGGTCTGGGGGAAAAAGAGGGGCTGGTTGGTCCCGTTTAACAAAGCAAACGACAAGAACGCGCAGCAAAACTGCAGAGGTTTTTCCGCCCCGTACGAGATCCTAGGAGAATCGAAGGCTCCGTTGGGATTATAGGGGAGTTTCCGAAAATTAGGGGTACGTATTTCGGGCTCCTTATAATGAGGATCCTACTGTTAAGAGTGCTACATTAGGGTCCCCTATTTTCGGAAACTCCCAAAGAGGTGGAAAACCAACCCCTAAAGTATTGAAGGCGACCCTACTCAGACTACTGGGGCTACTGGGGGGCTGCCTACAAGCGCTGACATGTTGCTCTTTGCTAGATCCGCTGGCCGCAGCTCGTCAAAAACGCTGCGTTGCACGCACGAAACATCCGTGAATTCTATGGGCCACGCTGGAACCGCCTAAGACTCAAGACAGAAGCCGAATTTCAGCCAAAGCCTTCTGTTCTCAATCCCAAAGCCTCCTCACACAAAACCCCACAAAACCCTGCGGCTGTTCCACGCCTGGCATCCGCCTTCGGGGAATTCCAGGAAGCTTGGAGGCTTTGGGTCGATTTTGCAGGCTGAGGGCTTTAGGTCACGGGGTTTAGGGTTTAGGGTTTAGGGGTTTAGGGTTTAGGGTTTAGGGTTTCGGGTTTAGGGTTTCGGGTTTAGGGTTTAGGGTTTAGGGTTTCGGGTTTAGGGTTGAGGGTTTAGGGGTTTAGGGTTTAGGGTGCGGTGAAGGGTTCATGGCTGGGGAAAATGTCCAGATCTTTGCATGGAACATTTCGAGATATCTTGCTTGCACCTTATGTTTCATACATTCTGAGATTGCGTTGTGAAGGCTGTTAATTATGACGACGACGGCCACCTCATTCTTGCAGGTGTGAGGATTCCGAGGTGACTACTTCTGTCTGACCATTGTTGTAGCCATCCGTCGGAGTGTGAGGAGTGCACTGATTGCACCTTGATAACCAGCTGAGGATATGAGGCGTGGGATCAGCGGCTCACATCTCATGTGCTTGCTCACTTGGGTACCGCCTGGCATCCACAGTAGTCATGAAACTTTTAACCCTACGAAGTTTAACCCCCGGTGCCTGAATCATGATGTCTTTTACGGCTCCAACACATCAAGTTCCGAAATGTTGAAATAAGCCTGAGTCATGTTCTGCCTTTGCTGGCAGTTCTTCCGATTGATTCTGTTCGAGTTCTACGCAGCTCATTCCGATACGAATCTATGGGTCTCAAGCAGACAATTGGCCTTCCGACACGATTGACGTAAGGTGCTTGGGGTCCCTAATATTCCCTAAACCCTAAACCTTCAAATTTCGTAAAACCGTAACCTTGTGTTGTCTACGTTCTTGGGGGGGGTGTTGGGTGGTCTTAAACCAAATTAAACATTGAGGTTGAGGGTTAAGGGCTTCAGAGGCCCGAGCTCTGGGAACCTGAGTTTACATACATATGCATGCGTACATGTATGTGTGTGTATGTATGTGTGTGTATGTATGTATGTATATTTATGTATGTATGTATATTTATGTATACTTATGTATGTATGTATGTATGTATGTATGTATGTAATAATGTATGTATGTATGTATGTATGTATGTATGTAACATGTATGTAACATGTATGTAATGCATACACACATACAGCGGTAGTTTGCTGTACCGGACCTGTCAAGGATTCTAGCAGAAGCACCCTGGAACCCTGTAGCCTTAAACCTGAAGCCCGACGCAACATACTTCACTCATGCAGCTAAGTCTCCAAAAACTAGGATCGTTTTGGGGTCCTTCATAATTAAAGTGACGGACTCTGTTGGATACCCTCCAGGACAAACTAATTTAGAAAGTACCGATATCCCTTCAGGCCACACCCTGCACGCTGAACCCCAAGCTCGAAAAGGTGCACCCTACTTGGAGGTTCATGGGCAGTTATAAGTAGGTTTATAAGTAGGATAACTATGGTTACAACCTACAGAAGGGGACTCATAAACCCCACTTATAACTACCCATGAACCTCCAAGTAGAGACTAAGCCCGAAACCTTAGACCTCGAATCCTCAACCCGAAACACGAAGTCTTTTTTTGCGTCAGTCGAAGCAAGACGTCATGCCG